GGGACATCTGTAATACTTTCAACAATAATGAGAAATTAAAAGAAAAATAACAACTGAAAAAATATTTGCAGCAGATATACAAAATTACTAAGAGCTCTTGACAATAAAAAAACTTGACATAGACAAAAGGACATCAACAGATGTTCAGTATATATGTGAAAAATATTAAAAATATTTAATCTCACTGGTAAACCATGGAAATGCAAATTAAATAATATATTGCTTCTTTTCCTTTACAACTTAGCAAAACAGATCACTTAAACCACCCTAATACTCAGGGCTCATGATGGGGCAGCAGGATGGGCATATTTTTATGTTACTGGTGGAGGTATAAAGTTCTTAAAGGCAATTTTTCAAAATATGTGAGATTTTTAAAATTATTATTTTTTAATTTAGTAGTTGTACCTCTAAGAATTTATCCTAGGAAATAAGGAACAATATTCAGGAATCTCTGTATACGCTTATTCATTTCAGTGTTATATCTAATACCAATAAATTTGAAAATACCTTAAATGTTAACAGTAAAACAATGATTAAATCCATAACATATTTATATGTATGTGTACTACATATCTACTAAAATGAATATTTTCCAATAAGTTTTAATGACATAGAAACACTCTCACAGTGTATGTTGAGAGGTGGGAAAGCAGGATACAATGTTATATCTCAGTGCAAATTCACTTATGAATACGTAATCCACAGAGGCAAAAGTCTTCATAAGAAATACACTAAGAGAGTTTCACTTCTAGGAAGATGGCGTAGGTGTACCCTATTCCTTCTTCTAAGTACAACTAAAAACCCTGGACATTATATATAAAACAAAATTAAGAAGATTTTGAAGGATGGAGAGGAGGTAGACCAGTTAGGGACCTTGGGACACAAGGAAGAACATGGTGGTGAGGTCCCTGGATTTTCTTTTTGCTTCGTACATCCCGTAAGTGACCTGTATCATTTTCCTTTTCTCTGAAGAATTTCTTTTAACATTTCTTGCAAGGTGGGCCTCAGTTTTTGTTTGTCTGAGGACATCATTATTTCCCCTTCACTTTTGAAGGATAATTTCACTGGATACAGAATTCCAGGTTAGTGGGGGTTTTCTTTCCATACTTCAAGTATTTCCTTCCAGTCTCTTCTTGTTTGCATGGTTCATGAAGAGAAGTTCAATGTAATTCTCATCCTTGTTCTTCTGTAGGTAAATTGGAGTTTCTGTCTTCTTTCAAGATTTTTCTCTTTGTCTTTGGTTCCACAGTTTGAATATGAAATGTCTAAATGTAGATTTTTAAAATTTATTTTGGCATTTATCCTACTTGGTATTCTCTGAGCTTCCTGGACCTGTGGTTTAGTGTCTGTCATTAATTTTGGAACATTCTCGGTCATTGTTACTCAAATCTCTCTTCTGATTCTTTCTTCTTTTTATGACATCCTCATTATGTGTTTGCTACATCATTTGTAATTGTCCCACAGTTCCTAGATATTCTGTTCTGTTTGTTCAGTCTTTTTTTCTCCTTGCCTGTCATATTTGGAGTTTATATTGGCATTTCTTCAAGCTGATTCTTTCTTTGCTTATATCCAGTCTATTAATAAGCCCATCAAAAACAGTCTTTATTTCTTAGAATGTTTTTGATTTCTAGCATTTCCTTTGGTTCTTTCTTAGAGTTTTCACCTATCTGCTTTTATTACCCATCTGTTCTCACAAGTTGCCCACTTTTCCCATTAGAGCCCTTAGCATATTAATCTTAGTTATTTTAAATTCCTGGTCTGATAATTCCAAAATCTCTGGTATATCTGAATCTGATGCTTGCTTTGTCTCTTCAGATGTTTTTTTTCTTTTTTTTCTTTTTTTACTGATTTCAGTGAGAGGAAGAGAGAGAGGAAGGGAGGGGGAGAGAGAGAAACATAGATCAGTCACCTCTGCATGTGCCCCAACCAGGGACTGAATGTCCCTGGATTGTTACCTTCGCAAGTTTTTCTCAGCATTTTCCCCCTTAGATAAGACAGAAGACCAGAAGGGGCTAGAGTTATCTAACTGGCCTTCCTCAGGTCAGATAAGGCTTTGGCAAAATAGTTTTACTTGAGAGTTTGCCTTTATTACACAGAACAGAACAAAGAACAGAAATCTCTGGGAGTATTTTGAAATGATTTCTTTTCCCTTTTCCCTGCTGATAGCAGGAGGGGATTTTTCTCTGATTTTTACCATGAAAACATGGTGGGGATCCTGGAGGTAAAACTCATGAAAGTATGGGTACCCCTAAGACTTGGCCCCTGAGAATATTTCACTTTCAAGCTAAGTTGCAGTGAATTGGAGTTTAAGTGCTCTTACCAGTAGGGGCTTCAGCAGCAGGCTTCTACTCTTGGCCTTTCATCACTTCTCTCCAGTGTTCAGGGCAGCAAGCAGTTCTCCCTATGATCTACATTCTCTGATGGATCCAAGAAGAGTTTTATTTTTGTTTGTTCACCTTTATTTTCTTGTTGTAAGGTTGGGAGTGATAACATCCAAACTCTTTACATGTTGGGGTGAAACCAGAAGTCCATAAATTACTTTCTAATGATAGTTTTATATAAGTGGATATCACAGAATCAAAAGATTGAATCATTGGTGGCTGATCGTAATTATGTTGACCATTTTAAAGAACTGCTTTCAAATTAAAAATCTGAAGGCATACATATACTCATTCTTACAACTTTATTTTGTTTTACATTGCTCTTTCATGGAACTGCCCATTGCTTAATAAGGAGGATCTGTAACCACCTTTGATCCTTAAGTCTTTGCAATTATATAAAATAGTAGAGGTTTAAAGAATGTAAGTATGACCTGCTTTGGGGGACCAGCATTTTGAATATATTTAACACTGACTACCCTGTGATTTGATTTTATTAAACAAAGTACAGCATATTGTATTTTTCTTTACCAAGAAATGTTTTATAATGCACTAATTAGGTCAATTGTGTGCCATATAAACTCAGCCAGACATAGAACTTTCTATTCATGCTATAATGGTCTTTATCAGACTTGGAAGTTCGTATACTTAATAAACAACTGCAGTTTTATAGTAGTAAAAGTGCTAAAGATTGGTCTCATTTATTATAATTGCCAACAGAATATTTCCTGTAAAGTCTAATTTAACTAGGATGCATTGTTTTCAAATTACAACTTGTGAAGCTTTTAAGATAGCAAATTTGATTTTAAATTCTTTTTCCCCCCTTAGGTTGCTTCCAACTGTAATTAATCAGAAATCATTTATTTTCCCTTTGGAATCTGAGGGTAAACTTTGGCAACCCCAAAGACAGCATAGTACATCTCCACATGCTTTGCCAAGGATAAAGGTAGGAATAGAGAAATCCATAGACACAGAGAGTAGATTAGTGGTTGCTAGAGGCTGGGAGGAGGAGAGAATGGGGAGTGACTCTGAGTATCAAGTTTCTTTGAGGATGATAGAAAATGTTCTTGAGTTAGATAGTGGTGATGGCTGCACTACTCTGTGAATATACTAAACACCATTGAATTGTACCCTTTAAAAGGGAGAATTTGCCCAGCTGGTGTGGCTCAGTGGTTGAGCATTCACCTAGGATCCAGGAGATCATGGTTCGATTCCTGGTCAGGGCACATGCCCAGGTTGCAGGCTTGATCTCAAGCAGGGGGCGTGCAGGAGGCAGCCGATCAATGACTCCCTCTCATCATTAATGTTTCTATTGCTCTCTCCCTGTCCCTTTTTTTCTCTGAAATCAATAAAATATGTATTTTTTTAAAAAGGTAGAATTTAAGGTATATGAATTATATCTCAATGAAGCTGTTAGGAAAAAAATTAAGAGTAAAGATGGGAAATTTGTTTTGTGTCTAAATGAGAAAACATGTCATTGTTTTTTCAGATACATTCATGACATGGTCAGTTTCTCTGACAAGAGCTTTCTTCAGAAAGCAAAATAAACCAAAACAGAATGCCTTCAAATTTTTAAAAAGAGCCCTAGAAAGAAAGCGTCCAGGTGGCAAGAATAGAGTTCAAGAGGCTTCTGACTGTGCCGCTTTGGGGTGCTCTTTTGATTTGTCTCCTGTTTCCTCCCTGATCCCCCCAAAATAGTAATAGTTCACTTCTTTTGAGTACCGAGTACTGTCGTCAGTGCTCTGGGAATACTAACTCGTTTAACCTTCGGAACAACCCTCGAAGGAGATGTTACTATTACCTTCATTTTATTGATGAAGAAACCAAGGTATAGAATGTTGAAGAAATTGGCCAAGACAATACAGCTAGTAAGTGCCAGGGCCGGGATTATGTACCCAGAAATGTAGGGATCCAGAGCTGTGCTCTTAACCACTATGGTAACCTTTTAAAAATAATAGCTTAATTGTGATATAATTTGTATACCATAAAATTCACCCTTTAAAAAAGTGTTTGATTTAGGATATTCACAGAGTGGTGCAGCCAACACATGGTACCCCTTTCCATAATTGTTTATATTAGCCTGTATTTTCCCTCCATCACACTTAACACAATTTGTAATTAGACATTAAGTTGTATGATTTTTTTTGAAATATGTGTCTTTCCACTAGATTATAAGGAGGGCAGGACCCATGTCAGTTTGTTCATTGCTCTATAATTCCAGGGGACTCAATGTTTGTTGAATGAATAAAAGAAACCACCCCAATGACTTCTAAGGGTGTACTCACCCCCATGTAAAATACTAACTAGTGCAGGCTGCACTCCCAAAGCAGCCTGCTCCTGCCTTTGTCATTGTACTTGTTGCACTGGGTTTGTTCAGCCACTCTCTGTGGAGTATTTACAGTGTGCCAAGGACTGCTAGAGGCACATGGGGATGAGCAACTCCGACCAGGTCCCTGCTTTTATAGAGCTTACATTT